GCCCGTGGACGACGAAATGGACGAGGAAGCACCCCATGCTACGCTCGATGAAGGTAATGCTGCCCGCCCAAAATCCGCTTCTGCAGCGCTCGCCCTTGCTCCTATTCCACCTGCACGTCCTCAGTTGCGCTCTTCCTTAGCTAAAAGCGATGGCATTCGTACGCAACTTTTTAGTTTTGAGCGCATTCAAGCTATTGCACGTCATGCTATCTCGGTTTTACCACCTGATGGTGGTGAACAAGCCGCCGACTATCTCCAGCAGATAGTAGAGGAGGCGGAAGAAAAGATTCATTTTTTGTTTACCGCCGATCAACGCGGTTTTGAAGTGGCCAATATGGCCCTTAAGATTAAATACGGGGAAGTGGTAGAGGATAAGAATGTCAAGGCTGCTTCTCAGATTGTAGCGGCTAGCAAGAAGAGGCCCACTCGGCCCACCCATTCCACATCCCGTCCTGAACCCCCTCTTCGCCCTCGAGGCAAAGGGGAGCGCCTTTGGAACACATGGCGTAGGGACGGCGACGGCCGTTGTTTCTATTTTCGTGAACCCGGGCATGGGATGGCTAATTGCCCCCAAAGAGGCCAAGGGGCCAATCGGCCGGCTAAGATTGTGTAAAGATTGCTTAACCTCTCCGATGTTGTAGCGTTCTTAATATATTAAAAATAAAAATAAAAAAAAATCTTGCACACAAAAAAGAGACAACAACAACAACAACATACACACAGATTCTTGCACTCAAGTAAGATTAATACGCGCGTCATACGACCACATGGTCTCGCCCGTTGGGCCTGTGCAAGAAGACATGAACGTGCCCACAGGACGCTTACACAATGTGTGTGTGTCCTCTAAAGACTGCCGTTGATAAGACTCATGACAAGATTTCTATGTCATCACCATATATGACCACCAACTACAGCCCAGTATGCCAAGTTGACATGCCCAATCCAATGGTTTATTACTTAAGGGATGACGTGGCCGAAGAATAGCGAGCGAGTGGGCACCTATAATTAGCGTTTGCCTTCCTTCCCGACAAAAAAAAAAAAAAAAACTCTCCTTGTTGAGGTCGGAACTAAATGAGGTGAAGCACCTTCCTGACTCTCTACCGTCCCTATTTGTGTTCCCTCTCCCACCAGAGCTCGGAACCATTTCGGCCTATGCCGATGACGCAACCAAGATTACCCGCATGCAAGGCCGCCTCCGTGACCGCGCTGCATGGTGGTCCGCCTGGTGCGACAGCCGCTTGATTCTATCGGTGATTACATATGGATATCGCCTACCATGGGTTGCCTCTGAGCCCCCCCCGTCTCGTACTAAGAATCATGCCGGTGCCTTGCAATTCACATCTTTCGCTGTAGGTGCAGTGGCCGAGCTTCTCGCCACCGGCGCAGCTCGGGTCGTACCTCCTTCCGCAACCCTTACATGCGTTAGCCCATTAAACGTGATTGTCCAACCCTCTAAAAAGAGGCTGATATTGGACTTGCGGCATGTCAACTCATTCCTCTCAGTGCCTCGTTTTCGATACGAAGGACTTACTCGCGTTCCTGATTTGGTGCAAGAAGGCAATTGGCTATTCACCATCGATCTCAAATCTGGGTACCACCACGTCGACATTCACCCCGCCTTTTGGCGGTTTCTCGGATTCTCCCTGCAAGGGCAGGACTACCAATTCCTCTCCTTGCCTTTCGGGCTGGCTACAGCGCCATTTGTGTTTACCCAGTTAATAAAGCAACTCTCCAAACGCTGGCGTAGCCGTGGCATCCGCCTTATTCCATACGTCGATGATATCCTATTCATTAGTGCCACTCGAACGGAGGCACTTCACAACCGCTCCATAATCATCGCCGACCTTGCAGCCGCGGGCTTCGTAGTGAATTTCAAAAAATCACAACTCGCGCCGGCACAATCTTTGAAGTTCTTGGGCCTCTTGCTGGACACGCGCACCACCACATTCTCTGTCGATGCGGATCGGCGCGATCGGCTGTTTGCCGAGCTGGATGAATTAGGCACACTCTGGGCTAACGGGCGTCGCATCCCTGTTCGCCGCGTTGCCCGCATCACCAGCATGTTGGCCTCCATGTCCTTGGCACTTGGCACCGTCGCGCGCGCCTTCTCCCACCACCTTCTCGCTCAGATCGCCGAATGCCACTCATGGGGGGCGGCCATTCTCCTAACCCCTGAGTCTGTTGAAGAGCTGCGTTTTTGGCTCACACAGTTCGACATTTTCAACGGCGCCCGCTTCCATAACCCGCATTTGTACGACGTTGTCATGTACGTGGATGCTAGCGACCATGCCTGGGGGGCTTGTTATTTAGCGCCGGATGGTCGTGTCGGTTCGCTCTCCTCCCCGCTGCCTCTAGCCTTCTTGGGCTTGTCCAGTACCCTTCGCGAGTTGGCCGGAATATTTTGGTCCCTTTCGGCCTTTTCTGTCGAAATCCGGCGTTCGCACATCTTGCTCCGCAGCGACAGTCAGGCGGCCTACTACATCCTCCAGAAGGGAGGCTCTCGCCGTCCCGAGCTTACCTTCGTATGCCGCGCGATTATTCAATTGTGCGTGCGCCATATGATCCGTCTCACGGTCCAATGGATTCCCCGTGCGCTGAATACTGAGGCCGATGCTCTGTCCAAGATTGAGCTCCACGACGACTACTCCTTGACAAGTCCTTGGTTTCTGCTGCTGGAGAGGCATTGGGGGGCTCATACCATCGACTTGTTTGCATCCCCTGCCAATGCGCAGCTCGCTCGTTTTTGCTCCCTCGAGTTCTCACACTCGGCGGTTGCGCAAGATGCCTTTTCTATTAACTGGGGACACGAGAATTGCTTCGCCTTTCCTCCACCCGCCCTCATCCCGGCTGTCCTAACTCATGCCCGTCGCTCGCGCACTTCTCTCACTCTCGTGATCCCATATTGGCCCAGTGCTTTTTGGTGGCCTTTGCTAAGCCTGGACGGCTTCACTTGGGGCCCGGAGGTCGTTATGGCCCTTCGCCTTACCCTGGGTGCTAGTTGTTTACGTGTTGGCAGTGACCGTTATGCCTTTAGCGGTGCCGGTCTTCCGAACTCTCCAATGTATGCGCTTCGTTTTGCATTCAACTAATGTAGCATTTTATTTCACTGCGCAGGCTCATATATTGGTATTATTGTCGGACCTTCTCACACTCACCGTCGATCTTCGGGCAAAGTCTACCCTTCGCACTTATGAACCCTATTGGCGACAGTTTCGAGCCTTCTGTTTGGCGCACTCACTTCCCTTCCTTCCCGCCACCGACCTGACATCGGCCCTCTTTCTGCTGCACTCGGTCCGTCGCGGCGCTACCGTCTCAGCTGTGCGCACTGCGTGTTCCGCCATATCCTGCGCCCATTGGCTGGTCGGCCACCCCTCCCCGATTCGCGGCCCCTTTTCTTCGCAAGTCAAGGATTATGCCATGCGTCATTGTGGCAAGCCATCTCAAGCGAAAGCGCCCATTCCTCCAGCCAAGATTTACGATATCTGTGACCTCTACTTCTCCTCGCATGATCCGGCCACATTCCAACGGGGCCTTATTCCCCTCCTCATGTTCGCAGCCTTCCTTCGTTTCTCTGATCTCATCTCCCTCCAGTGGCACCAGATCGAGTTCGATCGGGACTGCATGTGGTTGTTCATCCCCCGTTCGAAGACCGACCAAGCGGGCACCGGTGTTTGGGTCCCAGTGGCTGCTTCTTCTGCCCGCCACTGTCCGGTGTCGCGTGTCCAACAGTTCCTCTTCCTGGCTGGCTATTCTCCGCAGACCCTTGGCCCCCTTATTCGTATATTTCAGCCAGGTGCCCGAGCTTCCCCCTCAGATCGCCCTCCCTCGTACGCCGCCATTCGGGGTTGGTGTCGAGATGCTTTCTCTCGTGTCGGCCTCAACCCAGCCCTCCTGGGCACCCATTCTTTCCGCAAGGCAGCTGCGACGGTCGCCGTTGATGTTGGAGTCCCCGACCGGCTTTTCAAGGCCCTCGGCCGTTGGCGAAGTGATACAGCCAAGGAGCTTTACATTACTCAGCTTGACCGCGAGCTAGTGGCCGCTTCTCGCATGCTACAAGATCCTACTCGCTCGAGCGCGACCGATCGGTACCAGGCCACCCTTGAGCGCCACCGTCGACGCCCTCACACTTGATGTCTCGTTCGACCTATAACGACTGCACTGCACACTCCTCTGAGGTCGTGTCACAATATGAGAAATTTTTTGTAATGAAAAATTTACAGATTGTGATTCGACTAGAAGATGAGTTTGCTGTAAAGGAGACAAACTCCTTCATCTATCGGCAGGTCTTTCAGACCTGCCACCTAGTCTCATTTGCATTTTTCTGTTCCAACTTGCCCACCCTTCCCTCCCTCGCTTTGATAACTAGCATGGCCGCTCAGCCTTGTTCCCTTGCCATGTATTTGCCCTATCTAGTGTGCTGTATTGTGGAGCTATGATATGCTATGACGACTGCACTGCACACTCCTCTGAGGTCGTGTCACAATCTCCACGCCACAGCAAGTTGGCGTGATTGACAGGGAGGGTGGGGGGGAAATTCGGAAATAATGGGGGGGGGGGGGGGGGGGGGTTTGGGGCTCGGAATCCGCTATTACACGTAGTATCAGGGTCGGTCCCCAATACGTCGCTGGAAAAACAGGCCTCACTACACTAGTCACGCTGATCGATCAGAGTTCACTTCTAAAAAAACGCTGAAATTTCAGGCCGGTGTTAAAAAAAAACCCTGTCTCATCAGGGTCACCCCCGAAAAAAACCCTGATTTTACCCTGAATCAGGGTAAAAAGCCTGTAATCTGAGGCCCTGGTTCGAGTTGTACTCTCTAAGAACATACACCTATCTAGCCTATAACTTCTACATACTAACATATGTATAAGTTGACAGTCGAGGCCCCTAATACTGAGCGCCGATATACTTTCCCGCAAAAAAACCATCACGATCGCATGATGGAACCGATTGGCAAGAAACCGTTTTTTTTTTTTTTTTTTTTTTTTTTTTTTTTTTTTAAATAACAAATACGTCAACAACGATTCCATTACCATACCTTGGTTAGCCCATGCACATCAACACGTCACCTATTTGTTGTTTTTCGTGCCTTCCTAAGTTCCCTATTTCTATCACGTTTCTTTTTCGCCATTGCTGCCCGTTGACCCCTGGTTTCCGTAAGCGCCGCTTGCATTTGAATCCATTGGTCCTTCTTCTCCTCTTTTATCCGTAACAACCGCGACATAACCCTTGGCGGCCCCTTCTTCCCATCCAAGAGCCGATGCTCTTCCAGCTCTTGTAGCAGCGCAGCTACATCTGTGCGCATGAGAGCATTCTCATATATGCACATGGTATTGGTTGGCGGTCGAGAAACGGAGTCTTCCAAGCATAGATTTTGACAGCTTGGAGAGTCCTGCAAGGACATGGAAGGGGCAACACAAGGGATGCATCAAGGGACAGCAGTGAAGACCTTCCAAGGGATCCAACCCTTCCAAGGGATCCAACCTTCCAAAGAACCAGCAAGATCCACCCTGACCCAGCAAGTCTCACCTAGACTCATAAGACTCACTCACCTTGACCCATCTTTCGACAGAGAACTCGTTTCCCATCAGCGACAGTCTCTCGCCCCATCCGATCGGAACCGAGACCCCATGGCCTGCAGCCAGCAGCGCAGCACGCCCTTCACTCCACTGGTCACTTCATTCCACCAGGTCGCGGCTTACCTTGTCCTGCGTTGACTCACCTAGCTGCGTTGACTCATCTTGACCTGCATTGACTCACCTTGACATGTGTTGACTTACCTTGACCCATCTCTCGACAGAATAGCCTTTTGCTGTCAGCACTCCCTCTCTATCCTCATCGGATCGGAACGGGGCCCCCATGGCCCACAGCCAGCTGCGCACGGTGCGCTTCAATGACACGCTGCCACCTGGCGTGCTGCTGATGCGCTGCAGCATGCCACCTGTCACGATGCTGACGTGGCGGGGCGCTGGAACACCCTGGAGAGCTGCGTCCTGTTGGCATGGATGGGGAGGCGAGGAAATGGTGAGGTTGGGAGGGAGAATGAAAGACGGCAAAGGTGAGAAGAGCTCACCTGCACCATACTAAGCCAGCGGTGCAGAGCCGGGGAGAGCAGGGAATGGGGAAACAGAGGGGGGAAAGAGAGGGAGAAAGAAAGTCGGCTAAGGGGAGAGGAGCTGTCCTGCACCATGTCGAGCCAGTGGTGCAGAGCAACGAGGGTAGCACCGGGCGAGAGAAGCGGGTGGCGAGAAAGAGGAAGGAGGAGAGGGAGGGAGAATGTGAGCGACAAGTGACAGAGGTGACAGAGTGAGCAAGAGAGAGGGCTGACCTGCACCATGTCGAGCCAGTGGTGCAGAGCAACGAGGGCAGCACCGGGCGAGAGCGTGCGAACATCCAGCTTCCAGTCGTCCGTTGCAGCACTGGTGGGAGGGGAACGGGCAGGGTGTCGAGGGGAGAGTGACGGGGCAAGAGGGGGAGCGATGGGGAAAGAGTTACAGCATCGGGGAAGTGAGTACGCGTGCCAAACTTCCAGTTGTTGGCCGCAGCACTGGGGGGAGGAGAACAGGCGGGGGGTAGAGGGGGGAGCGATGGGGCACATGGGAGGAGTGGTTGGTTCCCAGCGCCGGGGGAGAGCATGTGCACATCCGAATTCCAATCACTGGCAGCAGCACTGGTGAGGGGGGAACGGATAGGAAGAGGAGCAGCACTGGGGGAGAGCGTGTGCGGCAGCAGCACACTACAAGTTCCAATCATTGGCAGCAGCACGCTACAAGTTCCAATCATTGGCAGCAGGACGCCACAAGTTCCAATCATTGGCAGCAGCACGCTACGAGTTCCAATCATTGGCAGCAGGACGCTACAAGTTCCAATCATTGGCAGCAGCACTGAGAGAGGATAGACGGAGAGAAGAGGGGGGCAGCGACAAGGCAAAGGGGGGAAGTGACTTGGCACAATATTAGCAACAAACGCTACAGGGCATGGCAATGGGGCACTCACTGGACGGACAAAGTATCGGGGCAATCCCGATGTTGCAGGACCATCATACAGCCCTTCTGGGTCAACTCAAAAGTATGACCATAGCCCACTCACGAGGCGATGTCCCGGGATAAAAACCCCGTTCCAGCGAGTTTTGAGGCGCCTCAAAACCGCGTGATAGGAGTCTAGTTTTTAGGTGATAGGAGTCTAGTTTTGAGGCGAAACTAGACTCCTATCACCCACTCACGAAGCGATGTACCAGGATAAACACCCCCTTACAGCGAGAGGAGCAAGAGGTGCTGGGCCTTGGCTTGGTGGCTCAAGGGGTGGAGAAACACGAATCAACCCTATGTTGCCCTGCTGTGAAGCACCCACCATGCGATGTACCGCGGGTAAACCACACGTGGCATGCCCATAACCCACTCATTGAGCGATGTACCGCGGGTAAACACCCCGTTGCAGCACGAGGAGGAAGAGGCGGTGGGCCTTGGCACGCTGGCTGAAGGGCCAAGGCACAATGTAGCAAGCAAACCACACACGTGGCATGCCCATAGCCCACTCACTGAGCGATGCATCGGGGATAAACACCCCGTTGCAGAGAGAGGAGGAAGAGGCGGTGGGCCCTGGCTCGCTGGCCAAAGCACCAGAGCAGGTCTATCAGCACGTTGACCATGCTCCTTGCTGCACTGCCGTCACTCTTCCTCCTTGCATCATTTCCGTTGGTTGTGCTTCTCTCTGTGCCCCCGTCCCCGTCTCTTGAGAGGAGCCACGTCAGCAGACTGTCGACATCCGTCCAGGTGTCGTCGTCGCATTGGAGGAGCAGCCTGAAAAGGTGTGCGTCGGAGGGGAAACGGCGAGAGGGGAGGCAAGGAAATCGAAGAATGGGTCGAGGGGAGCAGGGGGGAAGGAAGGAGAGGGGAGAGGAGGGGGAAGAGAAGAGGAGTGACAGCGGTGCGAGGGACTTGGCCAAGATGGAGGGGGAGGTGACGAGGGGGTGTCTCAGCGTGAGGAGTCTATTTTTGAGGCGCCTCAAAAGTCGTCTCTGTATCCGCAAAAGTAGACTCCTCACACTTGGCCCATATGGAGGGGGAGGTGATGAGGAGGGGGTGTCACAGCGTGAGGAGGTGTCTCAGCACATATGAAATGGAGGTTGTCAAAATGCACACACTGCATCACAAACAAACAGGTTGTCTCACCTCGACTTGCTCCCACAGTTGAGCACCTCTCAGGAAAGTCGAACTCCACAAATGAGAGAGCTGAACAAAGCGAGCCAAAATCCCGCAGCTCGTGACTCCGAGCTGCAGCCCCCTCCACGGTGGCCCGCGTTTTGAACGTGGGGATCAGCCCCAGCTCTCAGCACCGTTGCTCACTTCTCAGAAACGTCGAACCCAACAAAGGCAGCAAGCAGCAGTCCCTTAAATCCCGACTCCTGGAAGCCCCCCCCCCCCACAACGGTGGCCCATGTCTTGAAGGTGGGGATCAGCCCCAGCTCCCACCTCTACCCACCGGTACCCACCATCCTGGTACATCAAACCCCACAACTGAAAGAGCTGAGATCATCGCGCAGCAGTCCTGCAGCTGTTGACTCCTGGCTGCCCCCCCCACCATCGTGGCCCACGTCTTGCATGTGGGGATCAGCCCCAGCTCCCTCATATGCTCACCTCTCTGGTACGTCGAACCCAACGTAAGAAAGACTCTCCAACATAGTGCAGCAGTCTTTGGTACTTGTTGACCTGGCAGCGCCGCCCACCACGGTGGCCCACGTCTTGAAGGTGGGTATCAGCCCCAGCTCCCGCATTTGCCGCACCCGCCGTGCTGCTTCCTGGAAGTTTCCCTCACGCAGGTACGCGTGGACGAGGGACGTGAGCTGGACGATATCTGGCCTGGGTAGCGCTGGTGGTGCATGTGGTGAGGTATCAGTTGATGCTGATGTGGCACATGCTGCTGACATGGCGTCTGATGCTGACGTGGCAGCTGCTGCAGAGGTGGCATCATCCTCCAATGCAGAGCTCACTGAAGCTGGCGCTGGTGCTGATAAGGACGGAACTGTATTTAGTGATGTAGATGGTTGTTGTGTGAGCATGAGTTGTCTCTCCAGAACGGCTTCTGCTGCAGCTGTGTTCCCCGCCCTCCCATGCGCGTCCATGACCATGTGGTACAGGTCAGCACTCAGGGGCATGGCTGGGACAGGGGGCAAGGAGGATTGAGACAGAGCGAGGAGAAGGAGGAGGAAGAGGAGGAGGAGGAGGAGGAGGAGGAGGAGGAGGAGGAGGAGGAGGAGGAGGAGGAGGAGGAGGAGGAGGAGGAGGAGGAGGAGGAGGAGGAGGAGGAGGAGGAGGAGGAGGAGGAGGAGGAGGAGGAGGAGGAGAGAGAGAAAGGAAAGATTAGCCTGCCCTCCCATGTGGTACAGGTCAGCAGTCAGGGGCATGGCTAGAGTTAATGGGGCTGGCACATGACCACGCACATACAGCCGTGTACATGCAGCGCCCTACCTCTCCCTCCTCTGCTCTCCTTGCTCTAGATCAAGAGCAGGGATAGCTATCCTTCTCCCTGCTAGTGCTAAATATGTGGATCTAGATCTCGCGTCTCCATTTCAACACTATCCTATCCCCATGTGGACACACACTACCTATTCACGAACTGGCACACTCCTCTTCACTCCTAGTCTCACCTCGTCTCTCCATCGCCAGCAGTAGCTCCCCCCCCTTGTCTGCCTGCCCCGCCCTTTGATATGCGCCCATCAGCATGCAAAGCACTATGCCAGTCACTGACCCTCCTCACCTCTTCCCAAAATCCTCCCCTCACCTCGTCTCTCCATCTCCAGCAGTAGCTCCTCCGCCTTGTCCGCCTGCCCTGCCCTTTGATATGCGCCCATCAGAGCCTTGTATGACTGCTCCTCTAGAACTTCCCACCGCTCCCCAACGCCTCGCCTTTGCTCCCCTACGCCCTCCCTTTGCCGCCCTCCCTCCACATCTTCCCCCCTCCTCCTGCTCCACCGTGCTACTCTCCCTCCTCTCATATCTCCCATGCCCACTCCCTCACTCTCCTCCTCACTCTCTACCTCACTCTCTCCCTCACTCTCACTACCACTCTCACCCCCACTTCCCACTTCCTTCCCGCCTTCCCTCTCCTCTATCACAACTCTAACTCCCCCCCTTTCTCCCAGCCCCCTGTCCTCCACCCTTCCATCCCGCTCTTCTAAGCTCGTCACCAGGCCACCTCCCGAAGATGTTTCGGCCACTTCCCACCCTTTCTGCCAACCTCTAACTCCCCCCTTTTCTCCCAACCCCCTGCCTTCCAGACTTCCCTCCCGGCCTTCTAAGCTCGTCACCAAGCCACTTGCCAAATCAGCGCCCCCCATCTGGTTCTCCCTCCAAGCCACAGGTCCGGGCCGAGGCTGTGGCGCTGGCTTGGGCCATTCCTGTGCCGCTGGTTCGGCCAAAGCATCCTTCGCAAGGGCTTGGGCCACTTGCTGTGCGTCGTGAAACAAGGCTGGAGAAGGGGCGGGGGAAAACGGAGGAACAGAAAAGAGCGGAGATGCTATCACAGCTGGAGAGGGGAGTTCTGAGTTTAGAGAAAATATTCAGAGCTAAGAGCAGTGCAAAGAAAAGGGAACGGAAAGGTGGTTTTGAGAATACTAAAAAACACCCTGCAAAATCAAGAGCTGAGGGCAGTGAAAAAAAAGGGAATGGAAAGGTGGGATCGGTCGGGGAGGAAAGGAGGCGAGGGAGGTTGTAGGGATGGATGAGGGGAGAGAGGAACGCAAGGGGGGTTGAGGGACGGTGCATCGACGAACACGTCTGCAAAAGGAAAGTTGGGCTGTAGTTTGACAGTCCGTCCGAGTCCCTCCACCTTGCAGCAGCTCCAAGGCAGCGACTGACAGACCGCTCATTTTAACGGACTTTACGCACCCTTTCTACTCTCAAACTTGCCTTGCGCATCCACCTGCCGGAAGCTCACTCACATTCCGCGTCCCTCCACCTGGCAGCCGCTCCAAGGGAGCGAATGACGGCCGCCAGAGAGCGAAGAGACCATGGCAAGGCCCGCACACACATTCCAGCCCCGCTGACACGGACAGTCATCGCTCCGTTTACTCACCTTCCGCGTCCCTCCACCTGGCAGCCGCTCCTAGGCAGCGAATGACAGCAGCCAGCAGGTCATCACGCCATAGCAAGCCCCGGGCGCTCATGGCATGTAGCACATGCATGGCCTCGTTGGGCATGCCCGCACGGGTGTACCTGATCGGGGGAGCCATGCGGGGCACGAGGGAGGTATGGCATGAGGTAGATGGAGTTTGAAGGCGCCGCAAGCCATGTGCGCTGACGGCATGCAGCATATGCGTGGCCTTGTTGGGCATGCCCGCTCGGGTGTACCTGATGGCGTAAGGGGTGCGGGATATGGGGTGAAATATGGGGTATGCAGTGAGCCATGGCATGCCGCGGGTGGTCATGGCATGCAGGACGTGCGCGGCCTCATTGGGCATGCAGGACGTGCGTGGCCTCATTGGGCATGCAGGACGTGCGTGGCCTCATTGGGCATGCCTGCTCGTGTGAACCTGATGTGAGATCGGCATGGAGTGTGAGGGGCATTGGGTCTACACGCCACGAGCCATCTCAAGCCATGCGCATTGTGTGGCCTCATTGGGCATGCCCACACAGGTGTACCTGGGGAGGGGTGGAAAGCGGATGGGCATAGGGAATGGGGTTCGTGATAGCAACGGTTTTGCATGAGAACGCCACTAAGTCATTGGTGCTCATGGCATGCTGCACGACTGTGGCTTCACAAGGCATGCCAGCATGGGTGTACCTGATGCGGGGTGGAAGGGGCATGGGCATAGAGAGTGGGTTTCATGAGAACAACTGTTTCGCATGAGAACGCCAACAAGTCATTGTGGCTTCGCGAGGCATGCCAGCATGGGTGTACCTGATGCGGGGTGGAAGGGGCATGGGCATAGAGAGTGGGTTTCATGAGAACAACTGTTTCGCATGAGAACGCCAACAAGTCATTGGCGTTCACAACTGTGGCTTCGCGAGGCATGCCAGCAAGGGTGTACCTGATGCGGGGTGGAAGGGGCATGGGCATAGAGAGTGGGCTTCATGAGAACAACTGTTTCGCATGAGAACGCCAACAAGTCATTGGCGTTCACAACTGTGGCTTCGCGAGGCATGCCAGCATGGGTGTACCTGATGCGGGGTGGAAGGGGAGGGGGAGAAGGGCAAGGGTGGGGGCATGCACGTGGGGAATGGGGCACATTTTGAGGCGCCTCAAAAAGGGTGGGGGCATGCACGTGGGGAATGGGGCACATTTTGAGGCGCCACAAAAAGGGTGGGGGCATGCACGAGGGGAATGGGGCACATTTTGAGGCGCCTCAAAAAGGGTGGGGGCATGCACGTGGGGAATGGGGCACATTTTGAGGCGCCTCAAAAAGGGTGGGGGCATGCACGTGGGGAATGGGGCACATTTTGAGGCGCCTCAAAAAGGGTGGGGGCATGCACGAGGGGAATGGGGCACATTTTGAGGCGCCTCAAAAAGGGTGGGGGCATGCACGTGGGGAATGGGGCACATTTTGAGGCGCCTCAAAAAGGGTGGGGGCATGCACGAGGGGAATGGGGCACATTTTGAGGCGCCTCAAAAAGGGTGGGGGCATGCACGTGGGGAATGGGGCACATTTTGAGGCGCCTCAAAAAGGGTGGGGGCATGCACGAGGGGAATGGGGCACATTTTGAGGCGCCTCAAAAAGGGTGGGGGCATGCACGAGGGGAATGGGGCACATTTTGAGGCGCCTCAAAAAGGGTGGGGGCATGCACGAGGGGAATGGGGCACATTTTGAGGCGCCTCAAAAAGGGTGGGGGCATGCACGTGGGGAATGGGGCACATTTTGAGGCGCCTCAAAAAGGGTGGGGGCATGCACGAGGGGAATGGGGCACATTTTGAGGCGCCTCAAAAAGGGTGGGGGCATGCACGAGGGGAATGGGGCACATTTTGAGGCGCCTCAAAAAGGGTGGGGGCATGCACGTGGGGAATGGGGCACATTTTGAGGCGCCACAAAAAGGGTGGGGGCATGCACGAGGGGAATGGGGCACATTTTGAGGCGCCTCAAAAAGGGTGGGGGCATGCACGAGGGGAATGGGGCACATTTTGAGGCGCCTCAAAAAGGGTGGGGGCATGCACGAGGGGAATGGGGCACATTTTGAGGCGCCTCAAAAAGGGTGGGGGCATGCACGTGGGGAATGGGGCACATTTTGAGGCGCCTCAAAAAGGGTGGGGGCATGCACGTGGGGAATGGGGCACATTTTGAGGCGCCTCAAAAAGGGTGGGGGCATGCACGTGGGGAATGGGGCACATGAGCACAGGTACCGCAGCAAGCAAGGGGAAAGGAGTGGCCGCATTCCTGCGTTCTCTCCCATGTGCCTCTCTCCCAAGTACCTTGCTCGCCCAAGTTCCGCAGCAAGCAAGGTAGTATGGGTTATGGAGTGTGGTACGGGGTACACAACTTGGGGCACAGCAGAGAAAGTTGGAACAATAAGAACATCAAAGCAACAATAAGAACACCAAATCTTTTGGAACATTAAGAACATCAAAGCATTAGGAACATGGATTTGGTTGGAGCAATAAGAACATCCAAGCATTTGAAACATCAAGGCATTTGGAAAACGTTGAAACACTTCCAAGACAGAAACGGTGCACTCACATTCGAATGAGGGCGCGATACGTTGCTTCTGTAGGGGTGCAATCATCCCCTCTCCGCCTCCTCCTCCTCCGCTGTTCCTGCCCATCCATCCTCCCCACACTTCCCCACCTCTCATTCCCCCACTCCCCTCCTCCTCCCCCTCCCCACTCCCTACCTCTTCCCTCTCCCCACTCCCCTCCTCCAACCTCCTCCTCTCCTTCCCCACTCTCCTCCATCCACTCCCACACTCTCCCTGCCTTATCGTACGCCCCCACTCGAGCATACAGCCCGATCATGCTGTTACACGTGGCAACATCCAATTGGACCCCTTCCTTCACCATCACCCTCACTCCCTCCTCTGCCTCCCCCGCTCTACCCTCTCTCGCCCAAGCCCGCACGATCCTTCTCAGAACCTTCCCAGAAACCTTCCACCCCTCCTCCCTGACTCTCTCACACTCCTCCTCTGCTTCTTCCACCCTTCCATCCCTCAGATAAGCCTCCACCAGAAGAAGACGAAACTGCCGGTTCGGCATCATCCCGACTGCTGCCATCCGGGTGGCAAGCGCTGACGCCGCATCTGACATGCGCGCAAACGGACCCGCGGCAGGCGATGCACGATACCTGCCAGCTGCCATCTCATGTTCCACGTCAGCTGCTCTCTTGGCCACGTCAGCGCGCCCAGAATCAGCCAGCGGCCAATCAGAATTCAGCAGAGCACGCATGGCATGACAGAAAGCAGTCACGTTCACCCAGCTCCTATCCACATCTCGACGACCATCATCATCCCTTCTTTCACCACTCCTCTCCCTTCTCTCATCACCCGTTTCCTCCTGCCCTCCCGCCTCATAACTAGCAGCACTCCACTTACCTTCCTCCTCGTTTTCCTCCTCTCCCTCCTCTCCCTCCTCTCCCTCCTCTCCCTCCTCTCCCTCCTCTCCCTCCTCTCCCTCCTCTTCCTCCTCTTCCACTTCCCCCCCATTCTCCCCCTCCCCCTCCACCACTCCCAACATCGCGAGCGCCTCTGCTGCTCGCCCCTCTCGAGACGACTCAAAGTCCTCCACGCCCAGCATACTTAGTGCCTCTGCTGCTCGCCCCTCTCTCCCACACCTTTCCAGGTACTGCAGCCTCTGCCTCGCTGGATTCTGCTCCTGCCTCGCTGGATTCCGCTCTTGCTCCCCCTCTCCCCCTCGCCAAACCCGCATGTCCTCTCCCCTTCTCCATACCTGTCTTGCATTACTCGTCCCTAATCCCTCACGGAATCCGCTACTTTCCTGAATGGTGTGCGTCTGACTCTGAGTCGACTCAAAAGCGTGCTCCCCCTCCCCCCCTCGCCAACCCCGCGTGTCCTCGCCTCTTCTCCACGCCTGCCAAGCAACGCCCTTCGCTGATCTCCTCCTTACCACCACTCTCCCCTCCGTCGCTCCTACGTTCCTCCTCCCCTCCCCGTCGCCCCATCCGCCAGACGCCTCAAGACCCGCCTCCCTGTCCCGCCCCTCTCTTCTCCACGCCTGCCTGACAGCCCCAGGTCCTCTTGATCTCTCACTGAATCTTCTCCTTTCCGTTATTATCCCCTCGGCCCTTCCTACGCCCCTCCTCTCCCCGCCACCCCATCCGCCAGACGCCTCAAGACCCGCCTCTCTTTCGCCGTCCTCTCTACGCATCCCGAAACCTAGGGTTTTGTGCCCGTCCCCTTTACCCACAGCCCCCCTGTCCTCCGCGTCCTTATCATTCGCGAGCGTGCATTTCCCCTTGGCTTTCTCGGAATTACCCAAAACTGGACCCCGGGTATCCTTCGCAAACGAGGCCTCCTTTTCCTCTGCAACGGCTCTGCTTGTCCCCCCATCTGTGTCCGCCTGCCGCTGTAAGCCGTATCGGCTTTGCACACTGTATCCGCGCTGTAAACTGAGGCACGGTCTACGGCCAGAAATGGCGCAAAGCCTCGGGAACGGACAGCTAGGATGAAACCTGCGCGAATCTGGAGCGGCACGAGCGTTCAGCCGGAACGAATCGCTGATTGGGTGACGGGGGAAGCAATGCGTGCTATGGTTGGTCGAGCGACACGAGATTAACAACGAAGTCTTAGTCGGCAACCCAAATTCGGACTGGAACCCCATAGTCGCTGAGGTCGATCGTCCAAGATCGGTAATCTTAAGGTCGGCACTCACATGGCTGCCAAGAGAACCACGGATGAGCAGTTCTGGGTAACTCCCCACCTCACCCCAACTGTGAAGGTAAAATATGGGGACGGCTTTACTGGGCCGATAGTATTCAGCTGACGAGCCGCGGTGAGATCAGGGCATGGCAGCGATGATCATACCCCTAGCGCATCCGACGCTAAGCTTGTACATGGTGCCGGTGAGTGACTCATAACGAGAACAAACCTGAGGTCACGCATGAAATGAACCGCGCAAGATCCATCTGAAGTCCTTATCAGTGATAATCGAAACAAGATTGAAGTTTGCAAATGGATCATAAAAAAAAATTGGTGGATATCAACACTCTAGTTTGTAGGGGGACCAAGCCAAGGTGGGGTTTCTATATGTACGTATAAATATGTATACATACAAAATTTATCTCGAACATGGATGCATCTATCTTGGGAAACTATTGTCCAAAATTGATTGCAAGATGGTTGACACCTTATCTACATCAAGAATAATCACCTGCTCCGGATCCCCTGCACCAAAAGTCAAATAGTACTGTAGCCCACAGGCGTTTGCAAGGTGATGGTAGCAAGCATTGGGGCGTTTTTCTGGGCGAATCTCAAGCACAGATGCACTAGTTGGCATGAAGACCATATTGGCCATAGCCGCTCCGTGCCCCGCTATAAGCAACCTCGCCCTCCGGAACAATGCACGAGCTGCAGAGGTTCAAGATGAAGCAGGGGATGCAGCAAGTAAAAGGTGGGTAGTGGTAAGGTAACAACAGCGTGCGAGCGATGCGATTAGAGGTGTAATGAGTACTATTTCAAAAGTGGAAGTTTCTAGTGAAGAAAAGAATTGGGTAGCACAGGAGCTTTTTCGAACTGAGAATCTTCCTCATCACAACAATTACAAGATGGTGGGTACTTACCCTCTAGGATGGGCAGCGATCCATTGAAAACACGAACACGAGTCGGAGGAAAAATCTTCTCCACAGCTTGTAGAAGCTCATCGAAACGTCCCAGCACACGCTTCTTCGTGCCGACCCTATGCGCCACCACCACCAGCCAATCAGACGACGCCACGTCATCATGCCCTGGATCTGAGTCAGCAGCTGGATGCCTGAGCTGCCATGGCTGGTGGCTGTGGCGGTTGTATCCCTGCTGTTGCTGCTGCTGCTGCAGCTGGAAGATAGGGAGACCGCCTTGTGGCAGAAAGAAGCGACTGCGAAGGTTCCTCCAAATGGCTGGGCTGGGCTTGCCACAAGCCTGGTATAACGGCTGGGCGTTGGGGGAAGAAAAGAGGGGGGAGGAAAGAGGGAGCAGGTGGGGGTGGTTGGGTTGGGGGAGGGGGGAAAGTGTAGGAAGAAGCTGAGAGCAAGGGAGTGGTGTCTAAAACTGATGATGATGAAAACAGACAAAAGCAGCAACGGCAGGAGGAGAGGGTGCTGCAACACCCTGACCCTGCATTCCATACAGTCCCTTTCTTGTTGATATTGTTCGACTCAGACTGGCTCACCACAATGACCACTATAGAGTGTACCGGTTGACTTTGCTGACTCCATTTGGCTCACCACAATGACCACTATGAGTGTGCTGGTTGACTTCGCGGACTGCATTTGACTCACCACAATGACCACTATAGAGTGTGCTGGTTGACTTCACAGACTGCATTTGACTCACCACAATGACCACTACAGAGTGTGCCAGTTGACTTCGCTGACTGCATTTGACTCACCACAATGACCTCATCAGCAAAGAACAGCTCGTCCGGAGACATGTTGAGGTCAGTGAGGAAACTGACCTTATCGTTGACTCTGATTGACTCTGCTTGACTCTGGTTGACTCACCACAATGACCTCATCAGCAAAGAACAGCTCGTCCGGAGAGATGTCGAGGCGTGGGAGGGACGGCAGGGGCACTCCCAGCAACGGCTCTGATATGCTGCTGTAGCGCTGCCACTGGGGGGAAGGGAAGAGAAGACAGAGAGCAGAAGGGCAGAAGGGGGAGAATGCATGATTGCCTTGAGTGAGGGACGGCAGGGGCACTCCCAGCAACGGCTCTGATATGCTGCTGTAGCGCTGCCACTGGGGGGAAGGGAAGAGAAGACAGAGAGCAGAAGGGCAGAAGGGGGAGAATGCATGATTGCCTTGAGTGAGGGACGGCAGGGGCACTCCCAGCAACGGCTCTGATATGCTGCTGTAGCGCTGCCACTGGGGGGAAGGGAAGAGAAGACAGAGAGCAGAAGGGCAGAAGGGGGAGAATGCATGATTGCCTTGAGTGAGGGACGGCAGGGGCACTCCCAGCAACGGCTCTGATATGCTGCTGTAGCGCTGCCACTGGGGGGAAGGGAAGAGAAGACAGAGAGCAGAAGGGCAGAAGGGGGAGAATGCATGATTGCCTTGAGTGAGGGACGGCAGGGGCACTCCCAGCAACGGCTCTGATATGCTGCTGTAGCGCTGCCACTGGGGGGAAGGGAAGAGAAGACAGAGAGCAGAAGGGCAGAAGGGGGAGAATGCATGATTGCCTTGAGTGAGGGACGGCAGGGGCACTCCCAGCAACGGCTCTGATATGCTGCTGTAGCGCTGCCACTGGGGGGAAGGGAAGAGAAGACAGAGAGCAGAAGGGCAGAAGGGGGAGAATGCATGATTGCCTTGAGTGAGGGACGGCAGGGGCACTCCCAGCAACGGCTCTGATATGCTGCTGTAGCGCTGCCACTGGGGGGAAGGGAAGAGAAGACAGAGAGCAGAAGGGCAGAAGGGGGAGAATGCATGATTGCCTTGAGTGAGGGACGGCAGGGGCACTCCCAGCAACGGCTCTGATATGCTGCTGTAGCGCTGCCACTGGGGGAAGGGAAGAGAAGACAGAGAGCAGAAGGGCAGAAGGGGGAGAATGCATGATTGCCTTGAGTGAGGGACGGCAGGGGCACTCCCAGCAACGGCTCTGATATGCTGCTGTAGCGCTGCCACTGGGGGGAAGGGAAGAGAAGACAGAGAGCCGAAGGGCAGAAGGGGGAGAATGTATGATTGCCTTGAGTGAGGGACGGCAGGGGCACTCCCAGCAACGGCTCTGATATGCTGCTGTAGCGCTGCCACTGGGGGAAAGGGAAGAGAAGACAGAGAGCCGAAGGGCAGAAGGGGGAGTATGTATGATTGCCTTGAGTGAGGGACGGCAGGGGCACTCCCAGCAACGGCACTGATATGCTGCTGTAGCGCTGCCACTGGGGGGAAGGGAAGAGAAGACAGAGAGCCGAAGGGCAGAAGGGGGAGAATGTATGATTGCCTTGAGTGAGGGACGGCAGGGGCACTCCCAGCAACGGCTCTGATATGCTGCTGTAGCGCTGCCACTGGGGGAAGGGAAGAGAAGACAGTGCTTGAACGGGCACTCCTTTGCCCGTTGGGGTGAACAAGAGCACAAGAATTGGCGCGTATCAGGCATGCGCTGAAGCACCCTCAAGAGCACAAGAACTGGGGCTTATCAGGCATGCGCTGAAGCACCCTCAAGAGCACAAGAACTGGAGCGTCCAGTCAATAAGGGCATGGGTGGACCTTGAACGCCAAACGACCGAGTCTCACCTCTTGTGGTGCTGCCAGGGAACGCCTTGCATTCCTCGCAGAACCAAGTAGAGCACGAAGAACTGGAGTGTCGGAGCATGAAGGGCGTGGTTGAAGTTGGACGGGCGGGGGGGAAAAAAAAAAAACCTGCTGCTGACTCTTACCTCCTGGGGAGCTGCTAGCAGTGGGACATCTGGCATGGCTTGGAGCACAGACGAGAGCACAACGAACTGGAGCGTCCAGTCAATAGGGGTGTGGTAGAAGTTGGAAGCTGACAGCCAAATAACCAAGTCTCACCTGCTGTGGTGCTGCCAGTATGGGAACGCCTGGCATGGCGTGGAGCACAGACGAGAGCACAAAGAACTGGGGCGTCCAGTCGATAAGCGCGTGGTAGAAGTTGGACGTTGCCTGGTGGTATGCCAGGTTGACCAGGCGCTTGGTGTGGCGCACAGGGATGGAGCCCTTGAGATAGACGAACTGTTGGGAGCAGGGGAGAGAAGAGGAGTAGAGAGGGCAGGAGTAAGAGCAGCAGAAGCTCTGGCAGTTGCCTGGTGGTATGCCAGGTTGACTAGGCGCTTGGTGTGGCGCACAGAGATGGAGCCCTTGAGATAGACGAACTGTTGGGAGCAGGGGGGAGAAGAGGAGTAGAGAGGGCAGGAGTAAGAGCAGCAGAAGCTCTGGCAGTTGCCTGGTGGTATGCCAGGTTGACTAGGCGCTTGGTGTGGCGCACAGAGATGGAGCCCTTGAGTTGAGATAGACGAACTGTTGGGAGCAGGGGGGAGAAGAGGAGTAGAGAGGGCAGGAGTAAGAGCAGCAGAAGCTCTGGCAGTTGCCTGGTGGTATGCCAGGTTGACTAGGCGCTTGGTGTGGCGCACAGGGATGGAACCCTTGAGATAGACGAACTGTGGGGGAGCAAGGGCGTGAAGGCAGTTGCCTAGTGGCAGGACATTTTAAGTAGACGCTTGGATTGACGGACAGTGATGGAGGCCTTGAGATAGGCGAACTGTGGGGTAGTGGGAAAACAAGGTGGGTACAGGGGAGGGTAGTTTCGGGAGCGGTTGGAAGCTGCCTGGTGGTAAGCCAGGTTGACTAGTAGGCGCTTGGAGTGCCACGCTATTGCAACCCCCTCATACTCACATCACTATCGCTATTGCATTGCAACCCCCTCATAGTCACGTCACTATCGCTGTTGCAACCCCCTCATACTCACATCACTATCGCTATTTGCAATCCCCTCATACTCACATCACTATCGCTATTGCAACCCTTCCGATGGAAGTGAGTGGAGCGGTTAAAGACGAGCCCCTCACTGTTCACATACACATGGCGCAGCGTGAATGCCTGGGGGGAGGGGGTTGAGAAGAAGAAAAATAAATTGATGCCTTAAGGCTGTCACCCTCTTACAGAGGAGCAGTTAACGACGAGCCCCTCGCTGCTCACATACACATGGCGCAGCGTGAACACCTGGGGGGGAGGGACGGGAGGAGTGTAACATGACGGGATTCGCCATGCATGTGCTGCTAGGCATGCATGGGAATTCCCGAAAGGGATAGCTACGTATGCATGGGATTCTCAGATTGAGATGCCTAGAGCTAGAGATTACAAGGAGGGAAGATGGCTCATCATGACTTCGAGCATTGAGCATCAGGGGGAAGTGGAGCGGTTAAAGGCGAGCCCCTCCCCCACCCACCCACCTGGAAGTGCTGCCACGCATGCCAGTCAAAGTCAGACGCATGAGTGCAGCTCCCATCCCTCCCACTCGTTCCTGTGCCGTTCCCATTCTCGCTCTTCTCCATTAATTTCGGGCAGTTTATCGGCTCGGGTGGGCGGACGAAACCTTCGTCTTGTAACCCCTCGTTCCAGCAGGCTGACACTGCAGGGTTTCTTTCGCACCTGCCCGAGAAATCCGGGCAACGGCTGCCCAGGCAAGCGAGGGAGGTGAGTTTCGGGGCATGTACTGCGTCTAGGTTGAGGTGTATATTAACCATATCTGAACGGATGAGATCCTCTTGAAGCATCCTCGTTATAGGCTCCAAGATTTCAGTGGCTAATTCTTGTGTAGATTCTGGTATCTCCATCTCTGCTGCTCCTGCTGACACTTCCTCTTCTCCTTGTGCTACTGCTGTTGCTGCTGTTGCTGTTGCTGCTGTTGTTGCTGCTGCTTTTGCTGTTGCTGCTGCTACCACTGCTGCTTCCCCTTGTGCAGCTGCAAGCTTCCCTGAGGCAACATCCCCCCTCTGCCGCCCACCTGGAACCACCTGAGCAGCAACAGAAGCACCTGACGGCCTCCCCCGCCCAGATCCGATGCTGGTCGGATTGAGCGCCGGCGGGGACTTCGGCAGGGACAATGAGCGGACCAGATACCTCGTCAGCTGCGCGGCAGTAGCTCCGCCGTTGGATCGCTGCCACGTGACGGGCTGAGATTGGGGATGCGAAATCTCAAGATTGGGGATCTCCTCCGGTTGGATTGAGGCGAGTGCGGTTTCCATCTGCGCGACTCGGCCGACAAGCGGGTCGGACGACTCGTCATGCGACTTTACCAGGACTGATAATAACGGGGATGAGGGATACGGGGGAGGACGGGGAACAAAACAAAGATTCGGGGACTTGCTGACAACTTTTGCGAAGGTCGACTGTTTGGGGCACTTTTCGGACATGTTTGGGGCACTGTAGCAACGTGACATTCAAGCTGGATTTGAACCCCATCTCCTCTGCCCTCCTAAACCCAAACAGATCCAGGATAGTTTTGTGACACACTTTTTGGTGACGACAATCTCAACTATTTCCTACTCTGATCATCTGAGGGGTAAACCCGTCTTGCACCATGACGGCTGGGATGTGGGGGAGTTACCCTTTCTACAGCCGAGACTTCAAATCCCGGCTGACACCGTCACAAAAATGTGGATCTCTCCTACATTGTAGGTATAGTTGTTCGTAGAGCAAGGCTAGTACTCCGTAGCAGACGTACCTATGCCGTAGCTACTGTATACCTACTCCGTATTTCTGGTCCTAAATCGCTGGATGACCAGATAAGCTGAACAGATGATACGCGCGGTCACAGCAGTCTCGGCGGGAGCTCTGACTGTAGCCCGAAATGCACCTACTGTATAATCGCCGCGCACCTGCATTAAGATTGCTGGTGCAGACAACGAGAAAGACGAGCAAAATCCTTGGCCTCATGACCTTCCAACGAACAACTTGTCTGCCACGTGGCTGTCTTCGATTCGTGACCATCGGAAACACAGGAATCCCCCGGCATCAAATACCAGTCGTAAGAGTCGACATGTAGTAAGATGTGCAAAGACGCAACTGGAAACGCGGTGGACGCGACTTGCTTGAGGCGATGATTCTCAATTACTACTACAGACAGTACAGTCCTGTACTGTGACGTAAACAAACAGCACACAGCCCAAAGCTCAGACCACAGCACACAGTGCCGTCCTGAGGAGTTCTGAAGTAGGACGAAACAGTTCATGATGTCGTGGCACTGAACAGAGGACCTGTACTACCCTTATCTAACCTCCGCATACGACACAAAATGCTCTGGAGTGACACCCCAAGAAGACTCTGAAGAGTGGGAAGGGGAGGATGGACAGTTCAGGGCGTGTCATATGCGTTCATTTTAGGGAAATGACGCGAGGTTTAAAGTCAAGCGGTACTGTTCATTGACTGGGCACCGAAAATCACACAGAATTGACAACGGGTACAATAAGGGCGGTTTCTCGCGTCGCGTCCTTTGTGCTTGTCAACCAACCTCCACCCCTGAGCTATGTTCGGCCGAACCTAGCTTACAGGCAAAATCGGGTAACATTCCCAGAATGACAGGAGGCTGGATTTTTAACATGTAAAATGAACGCACGAGAATGTTCAGGGCTGCCCAAAAAAACAAATTAGCCTCCCTACAAGCGTTTTTTGGGTTGCGTAGCAGCACTATACATTTGGTTTCCCACTTCGGGGCACTAGTTCTAAAAGTAAAATTTTAGGGCACCTTTTAAAACTACTGCAATAGCCAAATCCGTTTCCTTCCACCTCGTCGATAAACACGACGGATGGAACGATCAGGAAACAATTTTAACATCAAATGGAACTAATTACAAATTTACAACAACACATGAATGCACTAATGCTTACCTGCCGCAGCAAGAATAGATCTGGTACACTTTGACAGCAATGCTGCCGAGTGACGATCACAATCACTAGTTGAAATAGCACATGGCATGAAGGGCATACACCTTGCAGCAAGCCCAAACAAAACAAAAATGAATACAAGTGGCAGATATGTATGCTGTCATACACTACGATGAATGGAACGACAAAACATTTTCTACATCAAACAAACAATACAAATGCAGGACACAACGCATACAATGCAAATATCTCAAAACGAGTGCACAGATGCTTCAATGTTGCAGCCATGATTGATCTGGTACACTATGACAACAATGTTGCCTAGTGACGATCACAATCTACAACTGCAGCAAAAAACACGTCGCACATAACGCATACATTTAACACAAGATAGACGAACATGACAACATGTACATACAAACACTACACGAACGACGACATTCCAGCATACCAAACAAAACTGGAACATCTTGTGATACAATTGATACTTCGCATTTCTGTAAGTTGATTAGTTGTAGATAGTGTCGAATCTTACTGTAGAACATACGTCCGTAGGATGACGTCAGCAAATAGCGCTCGTCATAGGACAGTCTTTTCAGTCACGCGAACAGTTGCATCTCTTCGTTATCATCTAGGGCGCGTAGCGCGATAGTGACGAACAGGTACATTAGCGAATAGGTACTTTTCCTAGAACTATAGATCCTTGTTAGGTCCTTTTTCATTATTAACTTTGATTACTCACAAGTTCACATACTCAGGTTATTCAACCTTTGACTATTATCCTTTACAAGACTTCCGCTGTTTTACTAGTCTACCATTCCAGTAAAGATCCTGGACCAACACTTGAAGATTTCCAAGTGTTCGTGTTTGCAGTTTTATACTTAGTCTTCTACAACATTGGACAAGTTATTTCAGAACAAACATAGAAGCGATGGGCGCGAATACAATTAGAGAGATAAAGGCATTACTAGAAGCTAATGCCGCGCACATACTTATAACTATTCTACAGACCACCCCTCAAAACCCTCCCTTCCTCCTTTCCCCCATTCCCCCTCCCCCTCCCCTCCTTCCTCTATCTTTTCCATCCCCATCCCCCCCTCTTCGTCTACTTTCCAGCTCCCCCTTCACCCCGAAAATGGCCTGCATGAAAAAGAGGAAGCACACATGAAAACTCTGAGTAATGATCAACACTCACACACCACTCTAAAACTCAATACACCGCTCGAATTCATCCCTCCCCACATCGTTCCATCCCTACATCTTTCCCTCCATCCTCAAGTCCCTCGCTCCCTCTCCCACATCAACCCTTCCCCCCTCTCCTACATTAATCCTTATCTCCCTCTCCCTCTCCCTCTCCCACATCATCCTACTCCCTCCTTCCATCCACCTCCTCCCTCTTTTCCCCCCCCCCCCCTCCCTCCCTCCCTCCCTCCCTCCCCCCCCCCCCCCCCCTTCCTTCCATCCACCCCCTCCCTCCTTTCCCTCCCCCCCCCTCCCTCCCTCCCTCTTGTCAAACATATTGTATATCTTATAATAGACTAGATAGGGTCGTGCCTTAGAGAGTACAACACTTAGGCTATATCTAGCCTGTACTCTTGTTTCTTCAATCAATTCAGTTATATGACATGGTATCATAGAATGTTAGGTCCGCCCATCAGCTTCCGCCCTAGTCCTAGCCTATCGCGTCCCGCTGTCCCCAGCGCATCGCGCTATCCTTAGCACGCCCCGCTGTCCTTAGAGTGCCCCGCTGGTCCCCACCCGCCCGCTGGCCCCTTTCATGCCCGCCAGGCCCTGTCGCGCCTGCCAGCCCCTTTCGCGCCCGCTGGCCCGCTCGCGCCCGCCAGGCCCCTTCGCGTCCGCCAACCCTTTTCGCGCCCGCTGGCTCTTATGTGCATGCCAGCCGCCGCGTTCGCTGGCCCCTTACGCGCCCGCCAAGCCCTGTCGCGCCCGCCAGCCCCATTCGCGCCTGCCAGCCCCATTTGCACCCGCCAGCCCCATTCGCGGCCGCTGGCCTTCAAGCGCTTGCCAGCCCCACCCGCGCCCGATGGCCTTTACGCGCCCGCCGGCCCCTTCTGCGCCCGCTGGTCCTCACGCGCCCTCCAGGCCCCTTCGCGCCTGCTGCCCCCCCCCATGTCGCGCCCGCTAGCCCTGTGCTCTTGCGCTGGCCCCGTCGCGCTCGCCAGGCCCCTTTCGCGCCTACCTACCCCGTCCATGCCCGCCTGGCCCCGTCGCGCCCCGCCGGCCTGCTGGCCCTTCGAGCCCTGTTGATTTCTTGGCCCTTCGTTCCTGCTGTCACCATACCACTAAGCCGTGCCACCGCCGTGCCGCCCCTGCGCCGTCGCACTGCCGCAGAGCTGTCGTGCCGTAGCCCTGTCATCGTGGAGCCGTTGAGCCTCGCCGCCAAGCCGCTGTGTTGCCGTGCCGCCGTGCTGCCATATCACTGAGGTCAAGCAATGGCAGACTCTGTGCTTCGCCTGGACACGGAGGGGCGCGCGCTCCACTTCGACGCTTGGCTGGTCGACCTCCGCCGTCTCCTGACAGGTCAGCGTCAGGATGGTCACTTCCTTGCTGTGCATATCGACGGCTTGCTTCCCTGCCCCGATGCGCCTGATCCCCTCCCCACTGACCCTACATGTGCTCGACGTGAGGCCTTTTCTGCTACTGCGCTTACTCGCGCTGTGTGGCAGTCACGCTATGCAGTAGCGCAGCTCGCCATTAGCCACACCCTTCCTCAGTCTCAGCGTCCGCGTTTTACTGCTATCGCGAATGCTCAGGAGTTCTTAGAGGTCGTCATTCCACGCTACTCCAAGCCCGCCTCCGCCTCTGCTGGCCGCCTGATCCTTCCCCTGCTGTTCCTCGACCTCATCACCTTCCCCACTGTTTCTGACCTTGCCACTCACCTCCGTGCACTAAAGGCCCGCTACCGCGCCGCTAGTAGGGAAGCCCAGCTAACTGCCTTCCCCCATATTGGTATGCGCTACACTGTACCTCATTGCGACGCGCCTTTCTGATCGCTTGGCCAATGCCCGCGACCAGTTCCTTAGTCAGCACCCAGGTGACCTCACCTTCACTGCCTTTGTCACCACCCTATCTGAGATAGAGTCTCGCTAGAGCTCAATCGAGCGGTACTGCGCTAGTCCCTATCTTTCAGGGTTGTGCATCCTCCCGGTGCACTTACGCTGACATGTCTGCCGCTGTCGCTAAGACAGCCTCTGCCACTGAGACAGCCGCTGTAGTCCCCGCGCAGCCGCGCCGGCATTGGGGCCGCCGCCCCAAGGGGGGGCATGGTGAAGGAAGGGGTGGGGGGGGTGGTGGGGTTGGGGACAGTGGTTCCAACGAGGGGACCAGGGCTGGTGCCTCGGAGCAGCAGTCGCCACAGCAGCCTCAGCAGCAGCCGCAGCCGCGACAGCAGCACTCTTGGGGCCGTCTCCCGCCGGGGTGGCCCAGTGCCTCTGGCAGTGGTGGCCGTGTTGGCGGCCCGTGCAGCTCGGCGTCGGGCAACAACTTCAACACTTGCGCTTGCCAGTACCAGCTCCAGACTGGCCCCCTCTGCGCCACTGTGTGTGGTCGCCCGCACCCTACCGCCCGCTGCTTCCGCCGCCTCGACGACCTCTTTCGCCGCCGCTTCAGCCCTGCGCTGGACCTTCCTGACTGGCACAGTCTGCTGCACCATTGTGTGGCCATCTTTTAGTTACAGTGACGGAAATAAATGGGCTTAAAAATCCATTGCAGTAGATAGACATTGAGATTTAGGCGTGATATGTTGTCAAAACTCGACAACAACAGATTGCATAGTGTGCCTCTTGACCTTAGCTGGTTTATGCAGTTGGGTGTTGAATTTTAAATCGAATTTCTTGTAAAGCGTACATTAATATATTGCTGTCACTCGATGCGGACACTTTAGGCCAACTTTGAGTCCAGGTCTCTTTCCTGTCTGCATTTCGCGATATAGCAACCTAACCTTTTTTTTCCTCTCGATAGTACAGCGGCATCTACGCCGAGCTCCTAGCAACGATGCGACCGCTTCTTTTGAGCCAGAAAGATAGGATCGCGACCCTGCTTCGACAGGGTCGGAGTTTCCGACAAATCGCAAGGGCATTAAGAATAGGGAAGAGCACGGTCCAGAATTACGCTCACGAAGCTGCCTAGCGGACGAGCAGCCTAGCGGTCAGGCCAATTGCTCCTAGGAATGGCCGACCGTGCATGCTCTCGGTACGTGATAGGCGCTCACTGGTTCGAGCAGTCACTTCCGGCCATGCAAAGACTAGCATAGAAGCCGCGAAACTACTAGAATCAGAGCGCGGCATCAAGATCTGCCCTAGAACTGTGCGCAACGTCCTGAAGCAGT